CTGACAACACAGCAACGCTATTTCCAACAATATACTGCCCTGCATCTCTCCTGACAACACAGCAACGCTATTTCCAACAATATACTGCCCTGCATCTCTCCTGACAACACAGCAACGCTATTTCCAACAACATACTGCCCTGCATCTCTCCTGACAACACATCAACGCTATTTCCAGCAATATACTGCCGTGCACACACTGAAGGTTACAACAGAGGTATGCAACACAATATGAAATTCAAGCTGGCAAAACCAAAAACCAAACTAAATATACTCTCAGAGGCCGAACTTATAGTGACATGAAGCATTTTTCTTTTGTTAATTTAGAGGATGATGTTTTATGTTTGAACCAGAGAAAGGGTATTAAAATGGTAGATGAAAGGCAACAAAGCTGTTGTTCGAATGGCATAAAATTTTCAAAAAGCATTTAATTTACAAGAGAGATAGCCAATAATATTCACTTTATAAGGCCAGACAAAAAGACGCTTCTCATTCCCACTCAGTGAAGTCTTACAAAGGGCAGAAGTTTTGGGGGTTGAGGCGTTATGATCTGTGGTGCTGATACCGGCAACTGAAAGGACACCAGTGATTGTGGTAGAGGGAGGCTTGAATGCTTTGAGGTACAGAGACGAGATTTTACAAAGGATCGCTTTATCATTTTGGGCAACAGAACCCTTGAGTGACGTTTCTACACCATAACGTCAGACCACATATATTCCTCGAGTTGTACACCAGGGCGCTGTTTCACAAAGCTCTTGTAAGCCTAAGATCTCGTAACTTTCCTCGTAGCATTCGAAGTTCCTGTGTTATAGTATGGGAAGTACGAATACTACGAGAAAAGTGACGAGATCTTAGGCTTACGAGGGCTTTGTGAAACGGGACCCAGTATCTTACTCAGAAGAATGTTAATGTGTTGCTCTGGCCTGCAAGACATCCCCCGATCTGTCACACACACACACACACACACACACACACACACACACACCGCCCTCCCCTTCACACCTCACCTGAGGTCAACCGAATCTTCTGTAAGAACTCCGTCAAACCCTTCCTGGGGTATGTAATCATTAATGATCTTCCCCAAGACTTTCATCGATGTTTTGGGACCTCAATAGGGCAAAGGTACCAGGACTGCATCAGCACACAAGGTGGACACACTCGGTACTCACCAGCTGAATGTGTATGTCACACGCGCGCACAAACACACGACCTCATTGTGTTATGGCTCATTTGCATATACCAGGTACACTGTTCTTTTCGACTGTTGATCGTTACCATACCTTGAAACATCTGTCTTTCCATGCAATAGCATTTCATTCGGGCTTTAAAATGTTTAGGCTGATTCTCTTGTTTGTGTGGCACAGTAGCACTGGGTACAGTTTAAACGATTTAGTGGTGAGGTATATTTACCATATAGAGTCCAGATTCTGAAGTTTCTTAGAGAAATACACTGACGACTACACAGCACCATGTCCGCAAGAGTTTGTCATAATTCATAAGTTCTTTAGAATACCATTTGGCGCTCAATACATTTTTGTATGATTATGCACCTCTAATTCACATATACTCAGTCACTATAATATAAGGGACGTTTTGAAAGCATGTGACTGGTACGTCCTGGAGAAATGGTAGTTTCTTCGCCAGTCTCCCAGTTTCTGCATTGTTTCATTCTTGGACATTTACTTCAGGAGATGAGGCTGGGTCGGTGTCCCTGTCTTCCCAGATTGTGAAGTGAGCTTCTGAACATTCCAACTGCAGTCGGACACTGCCAATAATGTCTTGGGTGTGTCTGCAGTATATCGACCCTTGCAACCACAATCACTATAGAATCTACTGTCCTGTATATACTCTGGGTGGAATACAGACTGACGTTTCGTCAAAGCACTGAAGCGGTACAGCTGATTCGTAAGTTATGAATACACAAGGCCATTTAGAAAGTGGTCAAATGTAACATATAATATTTGGGATTACACTTTCCTAGTAAAGTACAGATTCTAGTACTTTTGTTTTTGGGTGGAGTCCCATGCGGGATTCGAAGCCACACCCTTAGAGTGAGGCACCTAATCGCCAGCACACAAAGTCAGCCGTCGAACCCGCTCGCCCGCCGCGGCTTCCACAAAACTGGAAGTCGGACAGCTGGTAATCTAGACGACGAATTTTGTTTTACATTTTTGTGGAAGTAACCTTAATTTTAACTGACGTCGATTGGATAGCCAGTGTCACTTCAGGACGTATGGACTCGATGTATGACCGTCGTATAATAATTGAAGCAGGGCCCTGCCTTAACCCTGTGACGTAAAAACAACGGGGTGGGGGCTCGTCGAGGAAGGCCCTTAACAGAGCTGTGTGGACCAGATAACTTTGTAGGGTAAGCTAGTCTAATCAGTTCCACCTCTGATAGCCTCCTGTATGTTATGTTCACAGATAATTATCATTCATTGCAAAAAAAACAGCAGGTTTAAACCCAGATGAACCTACTGTATTTTGTAATTTGCATGCCCTCCAGGGGCGATCCATGATTTTTAGAAGGGGGGTAGCACATACATCATGAAGTCCAAAGGTTAGCGGGAAATGCCCCTGACGTCACCGTCAAACATGAACAGTCACATATTTACGATAGAAGACCATTCTTGTCACAACTGCCAATGGCGACATGGTATGTCATTTTCTCAAAGTTTGTTCAAATTGATTCAAGGTATATATGAATACTGTCTTTCTTTTACATACAGTACTTCAAAAACACGTGGTCCTGATACAGTCGGAATCGAACCATGGTGGAGATTTCTATTGATTGTAGGAATGGATTTTCGCTCTTGTTGTCTACGTGTGTGCATGTACAAATGCATGTGCACTCTATATTTACTCAGCGTCTTTGGTCTTGGGCGTGACGTGCGAACGCTTTGACCACTCTACTGTAGTCCCCACTGCACCAGTTGTAGTATTGGTTGTGCCAAGTTATCTAGGGTTTCGTGTCTCCATTTTAATATGATATAAATCCCAGCAAAATCCTTAAGATAACACTGTGGTCGTGTCTGGTGAACTTTCTCCTCAGCTCGATGGGCACAATGTGTTAAGCTCATTTCTGGTGTCCCCCGCCGTGATATTGCTGGAATATTGCTAAAAGCGGCGTAAAACTAAACTCAGTCAGTCAGTCAGTCTTCAGCTCGAAAACTAGCCATGGGGAACAATATCAACCGTGTTAGTCCACTTTTTGAAAAATGAAATTGAGCAATATTATATATGATACCCTATACTTTCTTGACTTCTTAGCTGTGCTTTAGATACATACATGGGATAGGACTGTGTTATTGGTAGTGACGAGATGTGGTGATGTAAGAATTGATCTTCAGTAACCCATGCTTGTCGTAAGAGGCGACTAACGGGATCTGGTGGTCAGGCTCGCTGACTTGGTTGACACATGTCATCGTATCCCAGTTGGGTAGATCGATGCTTATGCTGTTGATCACTGGATAGTCTGGTCCAGACTCGATTATTTACAGACCGCCGCCGTATAGCTGGAATATTGCTGAGTGCTGCCTAAAACTAAAGTCACTCAGTTACTGGACAAATTGTAGGGTATTGTTGCTGACAGTTCTATAAATAGCGTTTGGTTATTGATATGTGTTTATTGTAGTTGTTATTGATAATAGCATAGTCATGATAGTGTTGTGTTGTTTGTATTGCCAATGTGTTGTGTTTAGGTAAGGGTATAGTCTTGTGTCAATGATAGTATGATTGTGTTATTTCTTGTGGTAAAGTGTTGTTATTAATTGGTAGGTATATAGTGTTGTTATGTTTTATGTTATTGACAGGGACATGGGTTTGCGTTATCGGTAGTGATTTTGCATCTCTGGCATTGTGTTTTGGCATGGGTACAGTGTTGGACAGGTCAGGTTGTTTGAGCATTGGAATAGCATTGTAGGAACGGAACGGAACGGTGTTGTGTTTCTGGCGGTATAGTGTTATGGTACTTGCGATGGAATAAGGTGGTAAGAGTAATATGGAGATAAATTGAGAAATGATTTAGAGAGAGAGTGTCTAAATGGTTCCGATTTTGGAATCGATTATATGCGTTTTAGTCATTTACAATTATCCTGGACTATTTATTTGATTGGTGTTAAATCATTTGAATATTGTACGTTTTCTTTCATTTACTCATTTTTTTCCATTTTCTTAAAGAAATGTGGTAGTTCTTTTGTTTGTCCTGTAAAGTATAGAGACATTTGAAACTTTCTTTTGCAAGCAGCACGTATTGAATTACGAATACAGCTATCTTTGTATTTATTTTCAAGTCAACCCGTCACTATAATTTACACAACATTTGAAAATGAGCTTTTGGCCACTTACAGGTAATCAAGCTGTTAATCTTTTGTCTTAACTATAGACACTGTAGTATTTTTCTCAACCCAAAATAGTGTCAGTTACATTGATTCTCAATTGCCCAAATAACAAATAGGCCCGTGTTACGTGTAAAATGAAAAATACCACCTATCATTAGTACAATCATTCTCTATGTGTGACAGGTGCCCCCTGTCAGTTGCTGACGAAAGTAGTCCACAATTATCTCCCCCTTCTTCAGTGCGCGATGATATGACGTCATTTATCAGATAGATTCCCGCCATCTTTCTTTCATTCTTTCTAGTTACTGTTTCCGTGAACCTAATATGTATGACGTTGAACGTGTTTGACAATATGTTTTCTTAAGTACGTTTTGGGAACTTCATATATCCTAAAAGTTACCAATTTATGTGTTATTAAGAACCGGATGTGACACACAACGTATGGAATTGGTCGCCATGACAATCCGCCGAATAATATAGTTCTATGTTTAGTTATGTTGTGTGTCTTTTTTCCGACCACAATACTCTATCGTGTATCTGGATGGTGTAACTATCATTGGCATATTATATAATTTCATATTAAATATTTCCCGATTTAAAAAGTGGATCTGAAAGGAAATTTGACACCACATTGACATGCGCAAGGATCGCCATATTGGAAATAGCTATAAATACCATCGTAATTTCCATTCCCTAAAATAGCACAAGTTGTAGATTTTTCACTGAGCAACATTTTACTGGACACTAAAAATAGACACCGCACGGATATTTTTGCTCATCTCGTGGTATTGTTTTGGTAAGATTGATGGAAACTTAGTCGAAATGATGTTGTGTAAAGTTGTCGGGCTTTCCGAGGAAAAATGGCTTCGTACTTTGAGAAGGAATTCGAGTCGCCAAGCCGCTGTGTTCGCTTCTCGACTATGCCGTCTTCCATGTCGTTTTCGTATACTTCCCTCTCTGTTGTTGATGCCATGTGCTGTCATGAATCACTTTGACAACCTTTTCAATGCCTTCATTTCTCTGTTCTGACAGATTATCGTCAAATTGTGTCACCAAGAAGTTTGAAGTTTTCAGGCACAGACCTTGACATATTTGGCTACTTCTCTGCTTGGGTGAGTTTGTGGGGTTTTAACTTCATTCTGGAGGCCACAGTGTTTAATATGTGTAAGGCGTGAATATCAGTTGCCTTTATATTTCTGTTCCAAGTCATGATGGAATATCTAGGAAAAAATGATTCTTAATTGTTGATTTTTTCAGCTCCCGTAGTAAATGTTGTATAGAAATTCCTAGGTCATATTTATATAAGGCTATTATATACGTAAGTTGAGTGAAGATCTGTCTCCATTAATTGATTTTTGTATTATGAGCTTAAAGTTTAACTGTTAGCCCCCTGATGTACATGTTGAGAGTTTCACTTCTGAATTTACAAATGCATCCTCTAGTGTATGGTAAATATTATCCTATTTCCTCAAAGTTTTGACTGTTGTTTCAATGACAGTTGGTGGCGACCCATGCACCTTGAAATTAGAATCTTAAGCTATATAATCCATCTGGGAAGTAAGGCTGATATGATGAACATGGTTTGTTTTATATGCTCATGATACAGAGTTAATTGTAGACAACTGCAGTATTTGTAGTGTGGCTTTCATACGCTCACAAGCGAATAGAATGAAAACATTGTTTTCATGTTATAAGTGTGCATGAGATGCCTCTGCATTATCAGCTTCAGTAGGTCATCCTTCCATTTAGTCAATATATATTTTAATATTGTCCAAGACAGTCTGCACATTTTGATCTGAAGATCAAGTGTATAGTGGAAGTTAGTTTGGCCCATTGAGATTTGGGATTAATAGACAAGTCAAGTTACAAGTTTGAATCAGTTGACTGAAAAAGCTTTTGTGGAGAGTGTATTAGGATATTATGGGTATTATTCCCAGCACAATATGGGAATGTAGGGATTGGGATAGAGAACTTTGACAGTGGGCCAGTTTTAAGGATTATTAAACATTTTCTGAATTTAGAATGGGTCACTGCCCTTGTATCAATAGTAAACTTCAAAATTTTAATGGGCCATTTTATATTCTAATGTGCAAAATGGCCCATGGCCACTGCCTTTCCCAATCCCAGGGAATGGCATATATGCCATCTGCATATGAAACAATGCTGCAAGTGCAACCCACAATAATTTGTGTGTTGTGATCTATTAATCATCTTTATGTGTTCACATCTTTTCCCCACACTGTAATTAATGGAACTTAAGGTTTTCATGTTGTGAATGGATATTGTGGAGTATAATTGTTAGGAAATGAGGTGGTAACGTAATGATGTTTTCACTTATCAACATTAAGGCAGGGGTGGAAATAACCCATTGTCCGAGTCCAGTGGGTTTTTTTGTCGGGCAAGCACATTTGTACATCATGCAGTACCAGTGTCCATTTGACATTCCAATTTTAATTATGTTTTTTATTTAAACAATCACCAAGAAAATCGGTCAGTATAGCGGAAAAATTATCAGGGCAAGTGATTTTACATGTGCCACTGTACCGGAGTACACTAGCAATTTTAAAGTTATTTCCACCCCTGTAAGGTTATCTTACACTTTTTTAGTTCCATTGTCATGTTTCATTTTGCATACAGCCTGTCAGTAGTTTACAGCTTTGTATACATTACATTAAAGTCCTTGGAAACATATACTGTTATACAGGACATTTTGCAACATTCAGATGAGAAGGAAAAGAGTGCACTGTACCAACTGTCAGTACCAAATTTTCAGTTTAATGTCATCATTCCACTTCCTTTTATATGTTTTGGTGTTTATATTTATCAGTGTTTGACATTAAGCCTGAATTTCAAGGTTTTCATACTGTGGTCCTATTGTTGAGTTAAGGTGTAAATGGTCCCTAAGTTCACATACTGTATCAAAAACTGTACAGATCCCTCTAAATATTGAGACACTGTAGAGAGATACTTGTACAGTGTACTTTGTTAGGGTATTGGAACAAAAGACCTTGCTCTGATTGTTGTCAGTATGTCATGTATAGGTAAAATACCTTGTGATAGAACATTTTTCAAGTCACTTGTGCTTTAGATATTTAAACATAATTGGGATATGGTGGACAGTGATTGTTGAAAATGCTTTTAGGTATCTGTGTCGCCTTACAATATTGATATCCCTGAGTGTCTCAGTGGGAACTCCACCAATACTGCCATTAGACTCAACACTGGAGAATTGCTATTCCACTAAATTACAACAGGAAAAATGTCACAAATGTTCAAAGCCTGACAAATCTTAAGACAGCTAAGAGCCGTTTTTATTTTGTTTTCAAGAAATCTTAATGACATGAGTTCATGTTATACAAAATGACTAACATGGTCAAATGGTGTATACAACACACAATAGATCCAGATATTTCAATGAATATCTTCATTAAGTATATTGTTAATCAGAATGAATCAGCGTAACTATGATCTCATGTGTCCATATGTTATTGATAGTGTGACAAGAAATTGCCATTTCAGTTTCTCTACTGATTACTGACTACAGGGTATGTTGGTGCATTTTACCTAGTTTCACTTTCATTTGCTTCAGTCCAGGGTGACAGATTGCAACATGAACTGAGAACTTAAGCCATTTGCAACTGTATCTTTATAGTTTTGTCACTGCACTAGGTGTTTAGACTGAATTGTTGATAAATACCTGCAAGTGGTGGAAAAGTACTTAAATACAAAACAACTTCCAGAGTAAATGTGTTTTATAGTTTCATGTGGTTAGTAATAGCTGCTGTTTTAGCATATACATGGTGTAAACAATAACTGAAATAAATATTTCTGTGACAGTTTGTATAGACTCTACTGCAGTATTAGCTTCTAAGGGACCACTTAGACGTTGTTTTAACTTTCATCATTACGCTGAGAAGACGACATTTATGCTCAATAGTGTCTGCTGATCCAGAGGGTATACTTGCATGGGGATGTGCTCCCCAATCTCATCCCCATTTTTCTTGCACCTTGTCTGTCAAACCTGTTGATAAAGTCTTGCTAACGTATTAGGTTTGTTACCATATGCCCACATATTCAGTCCACCCGTGAATATCCGGGTTAGAATTGGTCTTCAGTAACCCATGCTTGTTGTAAGGTGCGACTAACAGGATCAGGTGGTCAGACTCTCTGACTTGGTTGACACATGTCATCATATCCTAATTGCATAGATCGATGTTCATGATATATTAATCACAGGATTGTCTGGTCCAGACTCAATTGTTATCATGGTTATGCCGCCACATAGCTGGAATAGTGCTAAGAGCGGTGTTAAAAAATAAAAAAACCAACCAACATATTCAGTGAATCAGATCATATCCCTTTGTGAATTCAGTTCATTATTCGTGGTTATATATGTATGAATTTATTTTAAACAAGTGGGGTTTTTGTAACTTGAAATTGTGTGTTATTTATGAAAGTGAGATATGAATCATGAAATGTGTAAAAGCTAGGCAATAGCACCTTGCAACAGTTTTCCCAAACATTCACAGCATTATAACGATGTATTGCTTGTTGGCTTTACAAAACAATATCACTCTCATGTGTCAACCAAAGAAATTACATAACCTATTTGTTAATCTATTGATTTATATAACATATCAAGTACACTAATAATTCACATAAAAGAACAAATAAACTTTTGGGTTTTTTGTACTCTTTTAACCATTACATATGAAAGAAATTTTCATTCTTAAAAACTTGTGGTTAATAAATACCGAGCGATTAAAAGTTGCCAAAATGTCGTCTGCTTCACTCTCACCCGCCAATGAAACCACATAGAGTTTACGTAACTTTGTTGCCAGAGCACAGCAGCAAACCAGAAGGGACGTTATATGAGGAAGGATTTTCAGTTAGTTATGTATGGCAGTTATGACTATCTTAGCGCTAAGAGAGCTTTGAAAATCTAGGCCCAGGTTAATATGCAGCCAATGAAAAGTGTATTGTAGCTTCCTTTTAGAAAAAATAGGAACAAAGATGCAAATAATACACTGGGATAGAAATCCCTTTGTGTTTCCCTTAAGCACCAGGAAAATATTTTAAATGTGCCTTTCAGAAGTCAAGTGTGCCCACATGTTTTTAGAATAAATGACTACAGCAATGATGATGATCATTTGAAATATATTGTTAGTAAACAACAAATGTAACCTGTTTTCTGTTTTCACTGATATGTCTTCTGTTTATGATGCCTTTCTTAAGCTTCATTTATTCTGCATTCCCAACACCTTTAATAGCTAAGAATTTTGTGACAGGTTCACTTGTTCAATATATCTAACATACACTATTTCCTCTTCAGTAACCGAACTACAGTACTCCCGTCACACTAAATGGAAAAACAACCAGATTTCTTTACATCATCCATCATTATTCCAGTGGGCGATAAAGTCAATAAATGTTTTTGCTTGTTTGTTATTTGCGTAAGGATTATATTTTGGAGATTAAATGTGAGTTATATCTCTTACAAATTAGGCATGCCATAAGGGCACAAGAACATTTTTTATCCATGCCATTTCTATATTTACCGTGCCATGGTACGCTAATATATGGGGTATTTTGAACCCTGATACACAATGGAGCGAATACCAGTCAGTGTTCATGTTAATGCAAAAACTTGCATGTTTTACGCAAATACATCTACATTTCACGCACGGTATTTTCTACCTGCATGTTCTGCACACAAGGCATTTTGTGTTGTGGATAGTTACATTTCTAAATTACTTCCTTAACTCTCAGGATACTAAGATGTAACATCGTCCGTTTTGACATGGTGATGTTACCAAAACTTGGAATTCCCCATTTATAAATAGCGTCCTGCCAGATGGCGTGCAAAACTCTGAACCGTGTATGACCATATATATCACGAATTCATACCATATTGTTATTCACGATTTTCAGATAACATTTTTGAGTCACCTCTTGTGGGCCACATCTCCCCGTTACTGTAATGTTTGTTGTTATCGCTGGAGTTTCCGTAAGAATTTTTTGTCATGCAGCAAACTTACCCCAAATTGTTTATGTAACTGTAAAACTCGTTGAATGGGTGAAAGTTAAGTTGATTCTTCTGCAAAATAATGAC